CGCCGGCCATGGCTCTGACCTCTACCGAGACGACTCCGCCGCGCTTGTCCTCAAATTCGTCGCCTTCGCCTCCATCCTCCTCCCCGGCATGGCCGGAATCTCCATCCTTCTCGTCGGACGCCACCGCCGCTTCCTCCGCATCGACGGCAACCTCTTCGTCGCCGCCAAATCCTCAATATAAAGAACTCCATTAAGCCCTTCGATGCCTGCTGCCTCTGCCTCAAATCCTTAATCGACCCTATGAGCTGTCACAAGGGCCATCTCTTTTGCAAAGAGTGCATTCTCCAGTGCCTCTTGTCTTAGAAGAAAGACATTCAAAGGTCTATTTTCTATCTCGCTTTATTTTATTTCAAATTGCAAACCCTATGATTCAACTCCAATTAGTTGCATTTCTATTGGTCCTTTGTTGAACAAGAGTGGGATACCTTTTGCTGTGCCTTTTAATTGGAATGGATATGAAAATAATCTCACTTATATTCTTATTGTCGACGGACGTTTGTTTAATTGAAGCTGCTAGAATTACTGTACAATCTTAGATGAGATTTTCTACAAGGCTAGATTTTTTCTTTGACACAATCAATTTGCTTCACTGGGTTGAATGCTTTTGGAATTTAGATAGCTGAGCTGTGTTGTTTAAGGCATCATTTTTCCGGTGTTGCATGATTTGTTTTGTGAAGTTGAGTTGAATTTTGTTTGTTGCAACTTGCAACTCAGTAATTATATGGCTGCCTTGGGAAGGTGATGTCCTGTTTGTGAATATTGGTTTGTTTCATGTCTCTGTCACAGCGGTCCTTCTTGCAAACTGTTGATTGAGGATTTTGTTCAGTTGTAATGTTCTCTTTGAAATTTTCTATATTTGTGATGGTCTCATTAGTCATAAGTATAACCATGTCAATTATTTTGGATTTCTGTCTATTAATATTGATAAATGTCATATCCTGCTCACTAAAAGTTTTAATGGTATAAAATAGAACTTTTGTCCTGCTCACTAAAAGTTTGTTATTTTTATTGCTTCTTCATTTAACTAATTTGGATTTTACTGTCTTCACAGTTGGCTGTATTCATATATATTGATAATTTATGCCGGTAAATAAATGTTTTGAAGGATATGAATATGAAACAAAGGCTTAAAAGGATAAGAAACCTTAAATGTTTTGCAGATTATTGCCATGTTGAAGGAGAAACTTGGAGTGAAATCAGATAAAGATCTGCCAATGGTGGATTACAGGTAGAAATTTTTATACATGCTTTTGCAATTATGTTGTTGCAATTCTAGCATTCTAATATGTAAAAAGAATGATGCTTAGTTCATTAGCTACTTCGATTTTGGAATTTTCTTTCAAGATTTGATTCATGTTATTGAAAGGTAATATTCCAAATGTAAAACAGTTTTCTTGTTGGTTACCAGCGCATCCGATACATGCGTAATTTTAAAATAGAGTTTGATACAAATACAATGTGGAATTATATTGATTAATTTTGAGCTTATTTTATTAAGCTTCACAATCAAACATGTGAATAAACTCTTAAGTTGTAAGCTCTCGTATGGTTAATTAAGATCTTTACTCAAACACCATTTAATATTAAACTTAGGAAACGCAAATCTACAATTAATTTTTATTTATGTTGCAGGAAACATTGATAAATATATAATGCACTAAAAAATTTCGTTTGAAATATCTTCTTGTTTAGGCATTTGGCCAGCATTTGTACCTTCTCGAGAGAACTTTTAAAAAGAAAAAAAATAAAGTAGTTACTTCTCGAGGGGTTTATAGCCAAAATTAGAACCATGTATGAATTTTTTCACTTGTTCCAGAATACTCAAGTGGGTCACCCAAGATGAAGATGAGCTTAAAGAAACCACCAAGGGTCGAGTCCAAGCAGTAATTCTTGACATGACAAGTGAGTTTCTGTTAAATATTTCATATCAAAAGAATTTTAATGCCTAAACATTTATAAATTTGATACTATATATGCCAATGACCCTGTGCAATTCTCTTTCATAGACTTGATGAATGTTGATACTTCCGGAATTCTAGCTCTTGAGGAACTGCACAAGAGGTTGCTTTCACGTGGTGTAGAAGTAAGGCTACTCTGAATTTGATTATATTCTTTGACATTAATATACACAGGATTAAATATGTTTTTACATTACTAACAGCAAATAAGTGAATGGTCCAAATTTCTATAAATAAAAGAAGATAATTTTTTTTTAACATAAGACACATTTTTAAAAATGAAACACTAAAATAAGATGATCTTTTGTAGAAAGACTATAGATGAATATTTCATTATGTAAAAGTTTGTTTTTAATTCTTAAATTTTAAAATGTTGGTTTTTGGTTTTCTGTTTATTAACAATCCTTTAAAATCCTAATATTTTTGAATACCAATGGATTATTTTTAAGTTATAAAAAATTTCAAATGAATATCAGTGGATTTTAATGGACTCTTTAAAAAATCTTGAAAATCCAGATTGAATACCACTAGATTGTTTTTAAGTGACATAAAATCCTGATTGAATACCAATGGACTTTTTTACTCAAAAAAAGTCTTTTAAATTCCTACGAAATCCTAAACCAATACACCCCCTTAATATTTATAATAATTACATTAAAAATTATATGTAATATAATTTTTAATTGATTAAGACAATACAAATATTTATATTTTTAAAAATAAATTATTAGTGTGAAATATTCATTAATTTTATTGATGGCTAATTTCTTTAAAAAAAAATGTAGTTAATCACTTTTATTGGGACTATCTTTTTCAACTACATTTTTTCCATCAACAAAATTTAAATGAGACACTTTTTATTTATATTGATAGTTTATGAAAATTAAACTCATTATTAAACAAAATAATAATAATTTAGATATATAAGTGTTAAAACCGTAAAGAAAATACTATTGAGTTAGATATGTTCAATTAGCATCATCTTTGTCCCATATTTCCCTCCTCTATTAAGTGCTTGCACCTCCTTTCTAATTTTTGAGAAATTTCAATTATTAAGACATTTCAATTTTTCAATAACCTCTAAATAATAGTTGGTTTATTCAACTCACATGCTTAATTCATTCACCTAATTTGGGAACATGCTACCTTCGAAAGTTAGGAAATGCAAGAGCAGCAATTTGGCCAGATACGGGTACTTTCAAACTGATTTGGTATTAGCTATCCCTGTTCAAATTGGTCCTCATGTCATCAATTTTGACTCAAAATGATGGTTAAGGATTGTTTCAAGCTTTTCCAACTAGTTAAAGTAGAAATTTTCGTTTTGGAGTGTCAATTTTTCGTTTAAGACCATATTAGTAAGATTAGTACAGATAGTTATCAAGCAATGATCTCAAAACTTAAAACTAATGCAAATACAAATAAATAGTGAGAAAGCATCAAAGAAAGGAGATTTTGTCTTAATTCAATCACTCCGTGTCTGATATCCGGTCCCTAATAATTGGTTCAGATGTTGTTTATGTTTGTAATAATATTTTTTTTTGTTAATTAACAATTCTGCAGTAATGTGATAATTTACGAGAAAATTAACCCAAATAGGCATGCAGTAATTTTCTCACATTAAAAATATAATGCATTATGCGTACTATTTTTACTTTTTAAATAAAACCTATAACCCTTATAAAAACATTAAATGACAAACCATTTAACTTTTATTAGATAAAAGACTATTAACAAAGACGATCTAACTTCTGATGCTGACAATATCTGATTGTTACTAAATGACAAATTAACATAAATATATTAGAGGCATGTTTTAAATAGTCGCCTAGCTCCTCTGTGACCTTGTTCCTTTATCCTTCCTGTATACAATAGAATATATGGATCACATGTAAGATGTTCCAACAGTTAAACACTTCTCAAAATATAACTTATTAATCTGCTCTAGTTGTTCAAACATGATAAAGAAATTAGAACTTATTATCACATCAAAGTTTAAACAATGAAAACCTCATTATTAAAGCTAAAGTATCTCACTATAATTAAAGATAATGCAACGTAAGTGACTAACTCATCTACATGACTACATGTGCCAAGTGAGAGTTTTTAGAAAGTTGAGCATATCAAGATGTTAGACCTAAAAAAATGTTTTAAAATGATACAACTGTTTCTCGTCGGGGATGATAGCTTAAATAACCTAATTAACCATGTACAAAAATTTAGAAGTGTATGTACAATATATATTAATTAAAGACATTGAGTTTGGTATCTGGGTGGGGGAAAATGTGATGGTGATCCATGTGAAAGCATATTTTGTTTTGTATCTATTAATTTGTGAAGATAAGGACAAGGTTTTTGATGATAGGGAGGTGGTGTTTCGGTCCCAAGCAAGGTTCAGTGAATGGAATAACTGGATGTTTAGTTTTCACATTTCACGGTCCGAGAATGAATAGATTCCCATGCCCGCATGCTGTGTTTCAGGTTTTTCGTCGACAACTTTTTTAGTACTTCCACTTCCGATTTCCAAGACAAGTTCAACAAAATTTGAAAATCAAATAACATTTCTCAGCGTTAACAGGTGAAAAGAAGGTGAGTGTATTTGTTTGGAAAAAAAATAGACAATAAATAAAATAAAAATATATATTATAAAAAAAAATAAAAAAAAAACAGAAATAGAGACATCATGTAGCTAGGAAAGTAGAAATAAGAACAATGGGACATTTGGTAAGACAAGTAGTTTGCATTTTCCTACCAAATGACAGCAGTTTGCATTTTCTGTGTTTTTCCGTTGTTCTCTCCCTCCTTAGTTTTCGGTTTGTAGCAAAAAGAAAACCAACAAAATAATATAAAGGAAAAATAAAGTAAAAATAAGATTATTTGATTTAAGAGAAATAAAAGAAACAATCTTTCACAAAATAATTAATTATCAATTTTTATTTAATTATTGAAATAAAAATTAATCCATTATTTCTTATTTTGTTGATTAATAATGTGGAACCTATAATTTTTAATTAATTAGTATCTTAGCATATTCATTGTATAACTAAATGTTTATTATATGTAACTTAAATTATGTATATATATATTTGAATATATAAATTATATTTAAAATTCATAAAAATATATATTTTTAAACATGTAAACTATATTTTATATTTATGATAAATAATTTGTATTATAACACAAGATTATTTTATCGATAATTTATTTTAAAATATTAAAATTTAATTTATAAAAAATTATAATGAATAAAAAACAAATTAGATAAAAAAAAGTTAAAAGAATTTGTCAAAGAAAAATCTCTAAAAATATCCTCACATAAAATAGTTATTTGTGTGTAATATATAAAAATTGATTATTTTTAACCATTTTAACATGAATAATGATAATTATATGCCTTCGTTTTGGAGTAGTATGAAATGGAAATAGGAGAGAGATACTAAGAAAGGAAAGAAGAAAAATAAAGTAAAAAATGTAATAAAAAAATAATAGATTATGTGGTGGAGAAAAATGAGTAATAAGGAAAAAAAATTAGATGGAAATGAGATAGGAAAAAAATAAGTATTTGACAAATACTATTATTTCATTTTTAACACTATCAAACACCTATCAATTTTTATTTATTACCTATTTTTATCCTCTCTGTATTTTGTTGGCATCAATAGACTAGTATATAAAGATTAAAAAAAATAAGTGATTAAAAAATTAATGATGTTATATACATTATGTTTGGTAGCATGAAATTTACAACAAAAAAAAAATAATAATAATAAATAAAAATAAAAAAGAAAGAAAAGTAAGCGTATGAACATTATTCACGCATATTTGATATCACAGAAATATAGTATGAAACTGAAAAATATTTGTAAGAAGTATTATTCTAATGACACACCCCTACATAATAACTTTAATTTGTTCAAATCTACCTTCTTAACATGTAAAATTTGTGTACTTTCTCCCACAGATGTTTTTCACAGTTTCATGTTACTTCTATAATTCCAAATATGCATGCATGAATAATGTTCAAATGCGCACTTCCCTCCTGGTTGTAAATTTTACACTATCAAACACAATGTATATCACATCACTAATTTTTTTAATTACTTGTTTTTTTTATCTTTATATACTTAGTCTATTGGTGCCAACAAAATATGGAGAGAATAGAAATAGGTAATAATGATTATGTAATTGAATATATATATATATATATAATTATAATTATAATTATTAGTTTTGTTTAAAATTTAACATCAAGATATGGCAAAAAAAAAAAAAAAAATAAGGAAGAAACATTCTCCGTTTTACAAATTTTTGTATCTACAACCTAAGAATTTTTAGCTTATTTTTTATTTTCTATTTTTTCTTTCTCTTCTTTTGTTTATTATTTTGTTATTTTTCGCGTATTCCTTCCCTACGGATCAAGAGAATTGATATAGATACATACGAAATGATTACTATACTCTAGTGAAAATTGGAAACATACAAACTGAAACTGTTGCACAGCGTAAGTCTAAACAAGAATCTCAACCTCAATGGCATGTGAATTTGTAGCTAAAATCTGCGTTGAATAATTCCGACACACCTCACATGGATGGTGTTTAACACCTTAAAAACAAATCAAAATGAAGATTTTTTATGTCCTGTTCGCACACGCATTTTCATGATTTGAGAACATATAGAAAGAGAGTAATTAACAAATCAGACTGGAGATGATTCAGTGAGTTAGTTTAAATTTAAAGGAAATTAAATTTAAAACTATAAAACATAAACTAATCACAATCACAACATCCTATCAAACCGTGTTCACAGTATAATAAGTTGCAGGTATAGATAGCCGTTAACTTGTAAATTAAACTTCATCAGATATTAAAATCCAGATGCCTCATGGAATTTAATGAGCCTCACAAATTGTTCCACTAACGCTAAAATTAGAAGGAAAAGCTAGGATAAATTGACCAATCTTGCAAAAATTCTCCATTACGGCATGAAAGTAAAATATACGGATGACCAAAACGGAGTTAGTCTCTTTGGTACAAACCCAAAATCATTAAATAAAATAAAATCATACAAACACCCTTAATTGCTAAAAAGGAAATAAAATTGATGATTTACATAAGAACCAGTTGAAAAACAATACCCCAGTGCCAGTGCCACAATATATAAACTGAAATACAAATATATTGATAATTCATAAATTGAGATACAAATAGAATTGAATTACATTACATAGTTTGACGAACCACGAAAACATAGACAAGATCTAACCCGGAGTCATTCTCCCTGGTCAAGCAAGAAAAAAAACCAGCTGACCAAAGCAGAGAAATTTACAAAATATTGGTAAAAATAGCCAATATGCAAATGAAAAAAGAAAAAAAAAGAAAAAGCTAAGATAATACTTAAAATCCTACAAGTAGCACTGCAATCTTCAAAAACTCAATTGCAGCACCAGCCCTAGCAATAGCATTAGGCACATAAGAGTGTTCAGAGAGAATCCCAATCAATCTCGTAAGAAGGAAACTTCTGGAGATGAAAATGTGCGGAAGGATCCTCCCATTGCGGCTCGGTAACATCGAAGGTGAGATCAGACAAAGGAGAAGAACCCGCAGAGCCCTCACTGGAAGCGGAAGGTTCGGCCTTGCAGGAAACTGAGGAAAGGTCCAGGTTGGGGTTGGGAGGCTCCTTACCAAGCTTAGACTTTTTGGCTGACCTGCCACCCTTCTCAGCCTTTCCCTGCTTCTGCATTTCAGCCAGGTTCTGACAAATGGCGTCCAGTTTGGCATCAACCGCCGACTGCAGAGGCTTGTACTCGCCCACACACGACCCTTTCAGGTTCGGGAAGTTCAGCCTCGCGAAGTCGCCTCGGAGTCTATACGCGGCCTTGTCGTACGCCAAAGCTGCTTCCTCCGCGGTGTCGAAAGTCCCCAGCCAAAGCCTCGTTCGGTTCTTCGGGAGTCTGATTTCAGCCACCCACTTCCCCCAATGCCTCTGCCTCACGCCCCGGTACAGCTTCGTGGGCTTGGGAGGCGCGCCCACTTGCTTCATCGGGACGGCCTTCGGGCCCAGCAAGCTCAGGGAGGGTGAGGGACTCTGGATCTGCGAAACCTGAAACGGGCTTAGGTGGTTCAGCCCCAGCGCAGCACTTGGCTGCTGGAAGCCGATTAAGGTTTGGGTTTGAGATGATGAGGAAAACCCTGTGGCTGTGGGGAATAGGTAGGAGGAGGTGTCTGCGTAGAAATTGGGGTGTGGAGGGAGTGAAGCTGAAGCTGAAGCTGAAGCTGAAGGAGAATATGAATATGAAGTAGAAGTTGAAGGGAGAGGTGAATCTGAAGCAATACAAGGAGTTGAGGAAGGACTTTTCATAAAAGGTTCCAGAACTTCCATAAGCTCACCTCGGAATGGATCTTGTGCTGCGTTGTAGAAATTCATCGTAGCTGCCATGTACTGTTTCCAACTAAACACAGATCTTAGATAAAATCAACCTGCGTTCTTAAAACCGGAAACTTAATTTGATTTCAAGAAGAAAAAAATTTAATTTCTTTCCTAGACGAGGTTTAAAATATACAACCCCTTTAATCTAAGGAAATTGAGAAAAGAAAAAGAAAGCTTTGAGGGATCAAAAACAACCCTCGTGGCTGATTAAAAAAAACCTGGATCTCGATTCTGAAAACACCTGGCTTTCGAAAAATCCTTTGTTGAAGTTTGAATCTTTGTGAGAATAGAGGCAAACCCAAAAAATGACTAGTTTTTGAAAGACAGATGATTAACAGAAAGGGATTCAGAGAAGCGGGGCGTAACAGAGGGGGGGGGGGAGGAAGAGATAGAATAAGATGAGAAGATGAGAAGATGAGAAGATGAGAGGAGGAGAAGTGAGAATGAGAAGCACAGAATGTGAAAGTGTTGTTTGGTGAATCTCTCGGTCACTCTTGGATTTGTCTTTCTAACACACACTGCTTATATAGGAGCCGGGCAAGTTGATGAGGGGTGAAACGAATTGAAATTTGTGATGCCAGTGAGCACGGGTTAGTTTACAGTGATTCCTGTCATCACCAAAGACAGCTTTGGCATCATTAAAGTGCGGGCCAATGAGGCACTGACACGCGCCCCTCCTCTGTTTGCACAAGACACGTGCCCGCTCCGTCCCTCAGGTATCGGTGTCTTTAACGTTGTTGCGAAGCCTGTTTGACCATCTCATTCCGCGTTCACACGAATCACACCTCACCAAAGACAGCTTAGCCATCATTAAAGTGGAGTACCGTTTTTTTTCTATGTTTAATTTTCTTTTTTTACCTTTTCTTATTTATTTTTTAACAAGCAGTTATAACTCCTGTCAATATTGGGTCCACCCCATGAGAGTAAAATGATTTTCTTTTTACACGTGTAATTATGGAATGGTAGAGTTTAAGTATCAAGTGAATTTTATATGATGTTGAGTAATATATAATTAAAAAATATATTTATTTAATATTTTAAAGTTTTGAATTGATATATAATATCAAATTCATTTATATAATTTATTCAGAAATACTTTTCAATAAACTATATTAATAAAAAAAAAATACCTATCATAAAGGATATGTAATTTAGTAATAATTTTTATTTCTAAATATAGGTTTTTATTTTACGTACATATTTATTTGAATTATTTTGTCTTTAAACATGTGGGCAAACTATTTTGTCCTTATATATGCATTTTTTTTAATCTTTAATTTAGTTATTTTCTTTATCTTTTATTCTTCATCACAAACATCTCACACTCTTTTAAATAATTATCTATTAATTTCACCTAATTATGATAAAGTGAAGACAAATAAGAAAAAAATAGACAAATTAAAAAGGAAATCTGAAACAAGAATAAATAAAAAAAATAGAATTAAAATAAAATTGCTTAGTGTTATAACTACAAAGATGAGGTAAGAGAGTGAATGTTTAGGGGGGAAAAAGTTATTTGATAAAGAGTGTAAGAAAATTGTGATGCATTCCACAAGTTAAAACTTTTGCCTTTTAAGTGAGAGAAGATTCAAGGAAATTGAATACAATAAACAAGAGAAACTAGACTCGGTTACACTTTTTCAAGATATTTATGTTTACTCCATTTTTATCTCTTCTCTTTGTTTTGCTTTATTATTGTATTTTTTCTAACAAATAATTTTTTATTGCATAAATGAGTGTTAAACAAAAATTAATTATAATATGTAATTTATTATATCTTTATTTTTTTAAATGCTAAATGAAATGTTTTTAAAAAACTAACAGATAGAAACTAAAATTCTAAAAAAAAATGGAAAAACCCGAATTCTAAATGGGTTTTGAAAATATAAATTAAAAACATGATGTGAATCTATATCCACCAACCCGAATTCAGATCCACCCCGTGTTCACGCCTTATTTTGTATTCAATTTCAAGGCACGGCTTATATTTATTTATTCTATTTTTTCTAAGGTATGTTTAGGTGTGTAAGGACGTAATCCGTAAACTCGAATTGATCCAAACCAACCTAATGAATTTGAATTGAATTTTTTAAATGTTTAGATCAGATTCAGTCCTATCTCATTAAAACCCGACATTATATGGGTCGGGTAATAGGTTTTATATTTTTAACCCGTTACTCAATATAACTGATCATATATAAAATAATAATAATGTTTAAATGATTATTTTTTAAAAATAATACTCACTATTACTCTTTTTTAATAATAAGTTTTGTATTTTAGGTTGATAACATTGTAATAATATAATATATTTATTTTAAATTTTATTTTATATTCGTTAATGTTGGTTTTTTGAGTTGATAATAATGTAACAAATTAATAAATAAAAAATTAGAATTTAATTTGTATCATTGTTTGCTTTATAGGTTGATAACATTGTATTTGCAACCAGGGACGGATTTAGGTGGTGAAGAGTGGGGGCACTTGCCCCCACTATCATTTTATATATATATATATTCCAAAAAATATATTTTAAAAAAAAAGTTATATTTTCATAAAATAAATATATATTTAAATTATCATATGTATAAAATATAAATTTAAAAGAGTTGTTCATTTATTTGATATTTATTAAACTTTTAAAGGAGATTAGTTCTCATATGTAATAAATAATACTCCTTAATAATGAATTATTTTTTTTAAAAAGTTTAATTTTTGATAAAATAAACTTTGCAATATATATGTTTACCTTTTGTACTTTCTATTTATATATACATTGATTAAAAAAAATCAAAAAGTAAAGATCATATGATTGTATATGTTGATTAAAAAAAATAAAAATAGGAAAAATTGAAAGATTTATGTTAACCCAGTTAACCCAACTCAACACAATCCATTCGTGATTGGGTTCGATTTTTAAATTTTTTTTGCACAAATCCCATCCAACCCAATCCGTTAAATTTTGATTGGATCCGGTAACTAATTCATTCAAACTCAGCCAAATCCGACCCATTTACACGCCTGGGCATGCTTGCTTGAAAAGGAAAAAAAATAGAGACGGAAAGAGAGAAAAAAAAATGAATATAAATAAGTAAATAATTAATAAAGTAAAAATACAAGTTATTTAGTTAAAAAAATTGAATAGAAATAAAATAGAAATTAATGTTTTTGAGAAGTCATTTAATTTACAACATTAATTATTAAATATTTATTGTTATTATTACATTTATTGTTTAAATTATTTATTTTTGGAAAATAAATACAAATTATACATATAATCAATATGTGTGTGTATATATATATAGAAGGGTAATAATAAAATCGGTGTAACTTTTACTAAGTATTACACCGCTCAATAAATTTATATTAAATGTGAATTTTGTAAATCTAACTGTTAGATTGAAAGATCATATCACTTTATAATCAAAGTGTTCATATTTTAGTATATTTTGAAATGTATATATCACATCAATTTTGTTTTTATAAGAATGAAGTACAAATCATTTTGGATTAATATATATATATATATATGAGGAGGGTTATAATGACACCGGTGTAAATTTTACTAACTATTACACCGTTCAATAACTTTATATTAAATGTGAATTTCATAAATCTAATCGTTAGATTGAAAGTTCATGTCACTTTATATGTGTATATCAAATTTTGTTAAAATTGAACAACAACTTGAAGGTAATCAAAGTGTTCATATTTTAGTATATTTTGAAATATATATATCACATCAATTTTGTTTTTATAAGAATGAAGTACAAATCATTTTGGATTAATATAAAATTTTGCACTCTTTATATATGATCTAAGAGTAAATTTTTTGAATCTAACGGTTGGATTTACAAAATTTCACATTTAATATAAAGTTATTGAGCAGTGTAATACTTAGTAAAAGTTACACCGGTGTTATTATAACCCCT